AGACCACTGCACAAAAACCTATATTTCTATGGAGATCCCATTGTAAGTACCGCCCCCTGGTCGGACTCCGCCCACTACCGTACCCTTTCTAACCAAGCCTTGCCTTCACCCTACACCCTCTAGGGGCAACTTCCTACCTATCCGGGACCATGCCACACCCATCCAGGACCATGCCCCAACTGGCTTCTTCTGCCTACGTCTACGTAACGTGCGAGCCTAGTGGTTACAAACAGACAGACAAACACACCAAACTGCTGCTTTATATATAAGAGGGATGTGCAAAGCTGATATTGTGGCATGATAATTAAAATGATAAAGTCCAACTAAACAATTCGAAGGGAGTTTTTCGCTGGAGTGAAACGATCTGTGCTATCCATCCTTTTTAGGCTACCTTTCATGGCAGCCGTCAACTTCTTCATAAGGCATATGGAATTTCTGCAAGAGTTACTGATTGTCTTGCCACGTAAATTTCGAGATACTTCAGACACTTCTTGATATAAAATCCGCGCACATATTTGAACGCACGAGTCGCGATTAGATACTAAGTCCGGTTCTCTCCTTAAGGCCGATGTCATAGTTTGCGAATCGAGCGATTCGCTAGCGAATCGCTGGATCCGAGCGTTGCGCCAGCGAATCGAACGATGCACCAGCGAGTCGAACTATGTATGTACCAGCGACTCAATAGTGGCGGGACCCAACGTTCAAAGGAAGCCCGCACTTTCGAACAGTGTCACGTGACAGTGGACCCTTTTTGAAAGTGGCGGGACTTGACAGTGGACACTGTTTGAAAGTGGCGGAGCTTCCTTTGAACGTTTGGTCCCGCCACTATTGAGTCGCTGGTACACTCCGTTTCATGCAGCCAGAAATCCACGTGGCACACGTGGCTAAATTCTCGATGAAAAGGTGACGTCACGTGTGCTCAAAGATGTTCTTGATTCGATGCCACGTCAATTTCTGCAATTGCACATTTTCTGGTTATTTGAAGGCGAGGGTACATCGTTCGCCTCGCTGGTACATAGTTTGACTCGCTAGCGAATTGCTCGATTCGCAAACTATGACATCGGCCTAAATGAGGTAGCAAGGTTCGCAAGCACCGCCGCGTATAAAAGTGTATGACAAGGCAACGGAAATCTCCTCGACCACTGCGACCGAAGCCGATTTTATTCATTCGCAGCAGAGCGGTGTCTGCTCCTTCTCCTTTACACCTTGTCCTCCATCTCGTCAAACCACATTCACGACGGATTAAGCCAATAAAGTGTATAGTGTTTTCTACAGTTCCGTCTGCTTTTTTTCCTCGTTTCACCTTTCCTCCTTCTCTCTTCCTCTTCGCATCCCTTACATTCTGGACCAGATAACGCACCAGTTCGATCACAGTTCATGCCTCTTATTGAGTAGCCACCTCCATCATAGTTGGAGACACGATTGCAGGATTTCAGTGTGGTGATATCGCAAAGCTGAAGAAAAAGTGAGCTTTCTTCTTGTTCCTTCCCAGTCATAATAGAACTTAAAAAGCTAGGGAAAAGAGAATCAAAGTTTCAGGTCCCCTAGTTAGTCTCCCATCCTAACATGGACGAAATGCTAAGGGTGGAATAGAAATTTATTCATGATTTCAAGATACACAGTGACCATTTCAAGAAATATTTTTGTAAAGCGTAACAGTAAACATAACAATAATAGTGCAGTTAGGCACACCTTTCAATGAATTAAACACGCCCATCACCGAGAATAAACACAGATTAATACTACTATATAGTAATATCCTTAAAAATCTCTTATTACTTACAAAACTGATTATTTATCACGAGTTATTGCTTAGACATGTAATCAATAATATGCTGGAAGAGGACCCGCTGCTAAACACCGGATTACAATGAAGCAAAATTCCTAACAATAGTTTTCTGATTAGGTGCACAGTATTCTGGTGCCACGCCATTATTAAGCGATCATAATACAATCATGATGAGATAAAGCATTTTATGAAGAAGAAAAATTGATAATATGGGCGCTTATGCCCTTGGGCGGGAGTAGGGGGTGGGGGGGGGGGTGGATGGACACTCAAAGCAGGGCATTCAAAGACCGTTGGTGAAATGACATTAGGACTAAGCTCAAGGAGAAGGAGGAACACATGAGAGAACAAATATCGCTGACATGCACTCCCAGAATCCCTTCCCTTCCTCGAAGCTTATTTTTAGGACGCAGCCTGTGAGTGGCTCCCTCACTCTAATGCACCCCCCCCCTACGACATGAGCGCCATATTATGACATGATCAAAAGCCATACATTCACATCGAAGGGTGCGGTCGCCAACAGCTGAGTTGATTCTGGGCCTTTCGCTCTTCGTTGCCACATTAACTTATTCCTGATCTCAGACAGAGTCAACCCTGCGTTGCGCAGTTCGCAACGGCACGTTGAGAGATCCTCAACGCACGCTGTATGGGCGGAGACACAGACGGCTCGAGCATGCGAGTGTGAATGTTCGCGCGAGAGAACGTGTCTAATCGGGCGAAACTGCGCAACGTGGCCGTTGAGAACTGCGCAACGCAGGGTTGACTCTGGGGTCAACCACCCTTTAGTAATGCAATGGGAAAGTAAACGTTCTCGTGATGTAAGAAAAAGGGTCATATCTGGGATTTGGGACACCGTAACTGCGAGAGAGAAAGGGCCCCTGCTCGAAGTTCGAGGACGAAAATGTGAAATTGAAAATTGTGGAATATTACGGGGTTGTGAGGAGGGAGAGGGAGAGCTGGTATCCTATTCTTCAGATTGCTATCAACACTTCATTTCACTTATTTAGGCGAATGGTTCGTGCGCTTCCTAAGGTGACAGTTCTGACTCGTTTAGCTATGAGAAACAGCATGATAGCGTCCCCTAGTCATAGAAAACCCCTACAGCTGAATAGCCCGAGACTACGGGTTAAGCGCGTGACAAAGCCTTCTCAAAATTTTAAGTAGACTACAACCTCTAGTACAAAATCATCACAGGTGATCACATGATTGAGCAGACTTTCGACTTGTTGTCCAATTTTTCACCGGAATTCGACTCGGTGGAGCTTGACTTCGAACTTGCACGTGACTTCGAACATAGACGTCCATCTTTTGAAGACGCATCGGTTTTACGAGGTGATAACTTGTTGCGAGGCCTTAACACAGCAAGTATTTTTGCATTTCACGATTGCACCTGATCCTTAGAAAAATTACAAGAAAAAAATCAAAAATTATAGTCAACAAAAAAAGTAAAAAAAAAAATAAGAAAAAGGTGGCCATGTACTGATTCGAGATTTTTGAATTGATGGCCTTCGTGCTTGATTTGGCCGACGGTTGTCTAGATCTGAGATCATTATCTAGATCTGCTATACCTACTTTAGCCGTGTGATGAGAGTTCTTGCTCGGGTTTTTCGATGCGAACGGATGGTGCTGACAATCCCTTCGAGGAACGTTTTCGCGTCGGTGAATTGAGATGATGAAAGCATCATGAACTCACAGTCGGGACCGAGTTCGTTGGCCCATTGTTGTCCCTGAACATCTCGTTGTTGGTCGTGGAAGCGTAGTAAGCATCTAGTTCTTGAACTCATAAACACCACTTTCACTGTCAGGAATATCTACAGCTATGTCAACATTTGTGTCAGCACCTGTTCAACCGCCATTCCGCCGTCCTCATGCGCTTTTCGAATTTTCTCCATGGAATTTCGTCGACGCATCCTACCCTCTCTTTCCGGATCAGATTCATAGCCTAAAAGAACCAATGAGAAATTGGAAAAGTGGAATTGATTTTGTATATTCAAGCAACCGTAGCACATTTACCCTCCCATTTAAAAACGGGAAAAGCGTCGGGTGCAGACCATACACCACAAGTGACGACGGCCTTTAAGTCTGGTTAGTAGTGTTCATAGTGATAGCTGATTTTTGGTAAATGATAGTTGTAATTAGTGACAACTGATAGAATACAAGGCTAATCATTTCATTGGCAGAAAACATTTACATTTTGTGGAGGCCGTCGTCACTTGTGGTGGTGTATGGTCTGCACCCGACGCTCTTCTCCTTTTCAAAGAAGGAGTGTACATGCCCGTATTTCCACAACACCCCTTATTACGTATAATAGTAGGGCTAAGTCAGTGAAGGGCAAAAACTCAAAAAAATTGATCCTAAAGAATCAAGAAAAGGGTTAGGTGGGGGAAGAGTGCTGCTCAGTGACTAAAGACACCCTCTCATAATGAAAACGCTCGCTCCTAAAATCAACCTGCCATCTATCTTTCTCTGAGATGTAAAGCTAGATTTGATCCATCGAATATTACTTAGATAAAAGATGACATAGCCGGAAGTCGCCATTAACCACGAGCACAGGTTGAGGATCAGATTTTGAACTGAATCTAGCGAAGAACAATTAAGTAATCCATCTCTGCGGGACTGGCTAGTTGGTACAGGACCGATACGAGAGGATAAAGGTTGCTGGTTTGCGCGTCAGCCCCCGTAAGCAATTTTGGTGACCTACTCGCTCTGAATTTCTTAAATGATTCGGGGTGCACGCATGGCGCATCCCAAGAACCAATGGACTAACCCTAAATATGTTGATTTAATAATTTGATTTGTTTTTTATTAACCATTCCACTGAGACGCATAATTATAGTTCCACCTACAGTTTCAGTACCCGGTTTGGATATCATTTCCTCACGATACGGCGCTTATTTCAGTCGGATAGTAATCAGGGTTCTTCTCAGAATCATATATCCTGATCTCGAGAAATTGTTCGTTATGAAGTCACCCCGACAAATTCCAGCGGAGCTGACACTTTGACAATTCCTGCGTCTCTTTTGCTAGGATTTCCCTTTTACGGAAGTGTGACAGCGGTTTTGCCTTTGCTATAAGCTAAGGAACTTGAATGGATAATAATTCCAAATTTTGATTGGGTAAAAGCAAAATGCAGCGGAGAAGCTAAAGCGGATATTTTCGAAAAAATAAGGATAAAAAATTGTTGCTTTCTCAAACTGGATTTCCGTGTTAATATTCAGATTCGCGTTTATATGTGTCACAATTTATCTGTAGAGCCTTTTCCAAAAACATCCCCAGATTCAAGTTTTTGGGAAATTTGTAGGTGGAACTATAATTATGCGTCGCAGTGTATATTTTGAGGTGTCCAATCGAAATGCATCGTATAACTTTATCTTTTACATTAACAACGTATGGGAGGCGAGTGTCAGAATCGAAAAAAATAACTCCGAGACGGAACTGATTCCTGTCGAACCACCATCTTCTTCGTCCTCAACGATCTCATCGGAATCACACAGAAGTCGCAGTGGAAGCTACAACGAGATTCTACCGAGAGAATAACACGACAGGGTTCCACGACGCTTAAAAGCTGTATTTCTGGATTCCATACTCTTCAATTGAGTCACTAGGTGCTCTATGAATAGTTGAGAAAAGAAAGACTAGACACTTCACATGTTGACTGGAAGCAGGTTCTTTACCGACGGTCGTTGGTGAATTAAAATGAAGGATTATGCAAGCGACAAGTTTGTTGGGCACCATTGTCATGCGCAAACTACCGGAATGTCAACAGAGATGACGGCAAAGTAATGCTTGAACAACAACTAAACATGTCCGACAGCGACATGTCCCGCGTGTTAAGCCTTTTTTGAATATCTAGAAAAATTCACAGAACCAATCTCCCAGAAGAATGCAGTGACAATGAGCGTCAGATCGTACCTTCTTAGACCAGCCAGTCACAATACAGAGCCTTTCTAATCATC